TTTGGAGCTTACATTTTCGAGAGTGATTTTCTATTAAGTAGTCCTTACATTTTTAGGATCTTCGAATGTAAACCAATTTGTGACACAAATAGCAGATTAAGGTAAATCAACAGAATTAGCACCTGTTCTTTCCGCTCATACATGTTTTTTTTCTTCAAAGCATTTCCACTCCCTTTCTACAAAGTAAAATGTAAAATATTAGTCAAAGAATTTGACGCATATATTTTGTTTCTCGTTTTCAAAGTAAAAAAAAAAATGCCCAGACAGTGTCAGCGATCTTTTCTTTATATTGTTTTGACATCACACCTATATTATATGCATATAGGATTAAAATAGATAGTTCGACTGAATCAACTCGACATCTCACTATGAAAAACAAGGTTACTATTGAGCCCTGTTTCCGCGAAAGCACCATTCAAGTGTTCAAGGTCAATGAATGGTGGATCGAAACTTAGTGTTTGAGTTTCGTTAGTTAGTGTATTAGTTTAGATAAACGACTTTGTCATTTTTTTACTATATTGGCCTGCAACTTTTCCAGCAATAAGAATATCAACTGCCCAAGATGGCAGTGGTATCTAAATATGGGGTTTTATTATGTAAACGACAATACGTTTGCCAGTAAAAGATCATTGAAGCAATTAATTTTTTTCTTAACAATTCAGGTTGAACCTGACCAACTATTTAAGGATAAACTTTCTCTAACAGCAACATGATCAGAGGTGAATATCTACAATATATGCTGCATTTATCATTTATGCATAAGCCGACAAATTGTCTCAATGTTTCACCATCAACGTGGATGTCAAAATGCTATTTGATCGTTTAGAAACAAAATACCCTCACTGTGTTTGTTGCGCCAGCTCTGCCGGTAGCCTCTCACCTATCGCAATTTCTTTTCTTTTTTTTTCTTTTTTTTTTTTGGGGGGGGGGGGGGAGCCCTCAAAATTTAATCGTCAAATATCATTCATAAGCGCTCTCTTAACATGAAGCAACACTGCACCCCAATTTTTTAAAAAATGATAACTCCGAGCTCCACAAACTGATACTGAGTTGCGTTTGGTCCAGAGAGATTAACGGACGATTGAACACAATTCCATTGTGACAATATGTAATTCTTAACAGGCAGCTAGTCTCCTTTATAAAGGGCTTCTGGCTATAACCAATAAGTTGCTAGAATCTCTTCAACTTCTTGCTATAACGAAGCAACCTTTACATCGTACAATTGAACTTAAACCTTAAAAGTTGCAGTTTTAACTTATTGCCATTCTTGGAGTATAGGCCACCAACGAGTATAGGCCATCTTCCCCGTTTTGTGCTGTTCTGTCTGGTTGTTTCCAGTTCATCTCAAGTCTCCTTCTTTGGGTGTTTCTCCATGTAAATTATTGTATCACATTGTGTCAGCTGTATCGGTTGCTGCCATAGCGATCACCTGTCGCCCATAGCACAATCTGATCAACGACGAGGCCAACTGCTACATTCAGAGAACTGGTGTGTCAACATTTCACATACCATATTTTAAAGAGACAAATGATATAGGAGCTGGCGATTTCTGAAACAGCCCGTACCCTAAAGCGACAAGAGCAGGGGGATTTCACATAACTGAGCTAATAATAAAGATTTTCATAACTTTAAACAGAAATATAAGTTGTGTGTGTCTGACATTTCCTGTTATTAATATGACACAATTTGCATCTATCATAATTTAACAATAATCCTCCGAGAAATCATTTGTGCACACAGGCAAAAAGTACGATCGATCACTCATCGACTGTAGAAGTTATCCCTCAATTTGCATTACTCTCAATCCATAGATTTATGAATATAACCACCTTTGTTGACTGTCGATTCAGAACAAACATTTACAGCAATATAAATTAAGTCCTCATAAGGTGTTTGGAACTTGAGGTATTTTTACTTTGGAATTTATCAATACTTGTGTAAGTTGTGTAGTACAGTACATGTGGTTACTTGAAAAAAAAAAAAAAAAAAACAGTACCAGTTGGTTATGCACATCTTTTACACCTTCAATTCTAACAGTTCTCAAATATCCGTATACGAGGTACATTATATCGTTGTCCCCACTTGGCATTATTGATCAGAGTGTGAGAAAGGCGGACATGAACTTTTATGCCCGTGCTTAAATAGACCTCTGGGATGTTAATTCGTGCTCTACACATGGTCTGCGCTTTCGTAATGATGTATTTTAAATTCGAAGTTTTAGTTCTGTGAACCGGTCACAATCTGTCAATCGAGCATGTCCTGTTTGCAAACTCAAAAAAATAAACAAACAAACAGATAGATAAATAATTCGAAAAATGAATAAATAAATCGACAGAAAAAACAAATAAATAATTTGGCAAAATGAGACCAAGTTTTCTTAGTTCTTAGTTCTCTTCTCGCCGAATAGGTAACGTTTTGGGTGATATCTGTTTCAAAAGCATAGAGACACAACAATGAATCTGGTTAGAATGGCACTTATTAATATTGCTGCACGCATATCCGTTAGGAAGTTGTTAATCATTGTCAATGCGTATGGCAAGACGTTATATACTGTACACGCATGATATAATGCCTATTCAGTCTAAATACAGTCTTACCCCTAACTAAATGTCCTTAAAATCTTCCCAGAGTAATCTTGAAAATGAAATAGTGTGTCTGAGGAGATGGCGTTCGTGATTTCACACAAAAACACTCGTTCTTTAAATATTTGCGTTAATGAAATTTTGAATGTACCAAGTTTGTAACAGCGCTACGAACCGCTCCTAGACCGGCCGATTACGTGCAAAATGACATCCTTTCTGACGTAATAAGTGGGGCAATAATTCACTCCTTTGCTTAACAAGTCTTAAATCCCCATCAAGTGACTGACAAATATTTGTCTTTTGAAGGTCTCTTTAATATTAAATCGATATCGAAGTAAGTGTGGACAGGCACATAAAAGTGGGGTGTCAGAGGAGAAAAAAAAAGAGAGAAGAAAACGATGCCATCATTTAAAGATTGACGTGGCAATAGAGTACAACTGTATTTTATACACGAATTAGTAAATGATAAGATGAACATGAAGATAAATAATCTGCAGGTAAAGGTCACAATGAGATTGTCGATAAATAAATAAATAAATAAATAAATAAATAAATAAATAAATAAATAAATAAATAAATATAATTTTAAGGTCAGGTCATGAGGACTGCTCAATATCTTCGTTCAATTTGGGCAATCTGTATACATGAGACTGATCCATTTAATATTGAAAATTCAGTCTTAATGTTTTTTTCCGCAATAGGCCACATGGTTTGAATATATATTCTTGGCATAGCCAGGTAGTTTGCCCATTGTTTCTAAATAAGTAAGCGTTTCAGCCTTTTTGTTATAAACATATCCAAGTTTACAGTTTACCTAATTTCCATACTTTAGACCCACTTTTGTTTAAACAAGAATGCAGGCGAATAAATCATTGCCTCAGACTTTAACTGAATTGCGAATGCACATTGCATGATTCTCGTCCAAACATGCGGTTCACGTGCTGGACAAAATACGTAGACAACAAAGATATTCTGTTAAGAGGACATCAAAAGAAAAAAGATCAACTGAAAGAAAACAGACTGATCAGTAATGCACAAACGGTTTTCCCCTAAATTAGAAGTTTTTACCCTGGACTAAATGGAGGCAGCATTAAAACCGGATTTACTCAAAAACGGAATAGATTCATTGACGATCAAATCACAAAAAGCACCCCACCCCTTCCCATAGCACCTTAAAAAGTTGAATCCCAATAATATTCGAGCAAATGTACATGAGAGAGAGAGAGAGAGAGAGAGACTAGTCAGTGTTTGTTTGTTAACGAAAATTGTTATGATTGCTGTCCTTGAAGGACAAAGAATACAAGTGCAGGTGAATTCTGGTCGGCTGATGACGTAATAGAGCCTATACCCAATCTAACAACGTTTGGTTGTGAACTGTGACTGAAGTATCTCAAGCTTAAGGAAGCAAATGGAGCAAATAACAAAGCTGAATACTGCTACCTGAAACGTTTGTTTCTGGATGTGTGCCATAATGCTCTATTAGGTTAAAGCACAACAAGAAAATCCGTACCTGTGAAAAGTTTCGGCACATGGATTTTCTTTTTTTTCCTCCAGATTTAAAGTCACTAATTGGCAGGGTTTCATCGGTATCACACGAAACTGTGTTGAAACAATTGGCATCATAATCATTTTTATAAATGAGTTTCTTGCTGGCTTTCTTTAACTTAATATGGGTTAATTTAACTAAATCTACATGTACATGTGACTGATAATACAATTCAATGATCTGTTTTAGATGACATAAGACCAAAAGATTGCTTTGAGAAAATGAACAATATGTACTTCACACCCTGTGTTGATTTTCACCGTGACATTTTATTTTGCAGCTTCAGGCAACTCTCAAGGGAAAACAACAATTTTAAACAAGTTTCTTGGCAAACGTATAAGGTACGAAAAAGTCTGCTGCCTCCGTCTGGCAAATCAAGTAATCAGTTTTTGCAATCTGTTTCTGAGAGTCGTAACCTTGGTACTTAAACAACGCGCCTGTTTCCAGACTTTCATGGCAACTTAAGGTACGAGCAAGCATTTTTTTCTGTGCTCCAAAGATTTAATAGACATATCGTTTACATAAGTCTTTTGACGACAGACGATTGAGCTAGCTGATAATGAAGAAAGGGCATCGATGAAAAACTTAAGTGGTAACTCAAATACAAAATATCTGCAGCAGAATGATTGACGGGAGAAAACAAAGAACGCCTTCAGTGTAGGGAGAGAGGAAAAACACGAATAAATAAAATAATAACAAAATAACATTTTAGAGTAAGCGAGACTTTAAGTCGAAAAATTAATAAGCACGTTTCTCTACAGCTGGTCGGATGACTTGAACCCAATAATCTGATTGTTTTTATACCACCCAACAACATCCTCTGGGTCTCCCCTAAATTCGCGCACATAATCAACAGTCCGATTAACCGTCATACATTCACCTTTGGGTTTTGCTTAAAAAATAGTCCTGTAACCGGTTATATCGTATTTAGCGTCTCAATGAGTAGCAAAGTGACAGGAATACGCAAAAATCGTTTCCCGACACTCCTACCGTCGGCACGAACCCGTTGAGACGCGCGTACTCGTTAGTCTGCCCCCTTTCAGAGAGGGTCTTTTGCCGCGGTGGTTTCGTCATTCCTTCTGAGAAGATACCTCTACACATTTTGCATTCGGTTTAAGGTGAGACTGCCAATTTTTCTTGCATCAGTGCAGGGTGGATTGCTCTATCCGACCCCTACAACGCTTTCCTGGAACATTTGGGAGGGATTTCAGTTTGTTTGATTCCATCAAGGGCTGACTGTCTACTCTTCCTGCTTGGAGGCGGCAGGGCGGAGACAGAGAGGTGCTTTAACGAGCAGAACTGTGACATTTAGCGACACGGGACTAGTGTAAACTTTTGATGTCTACCATCACACCTGGGTTCGGAGATAGCGTGCGCTATAAGAAGTTTCAAGGGCTTTGCGAGTCAGGTAGGTCTGTACATGTAGTTGCTGCACTGTCGTGTACCGAGTGCCCTAAAGCGTGGCGTGCTTCAATCGTTTGGCATCATTTCAACTTCAAAACACTAAAAAAAATGTAAATCCATATTTTTTGGGATGTCTGCATGTGAGTCCAGCACTTCCAGATTTATCTCTCCCTTTGTCTTTCTCTCATTCTTTCTTGCCCTCTCGTTTTCTCTCTTTCGTTCTCTCTCTCCCTCTCGTTTTTCCTCTCTTACACACACACAAACACAAACACACACACACACACACACACACACACTTTCTCTCTGTTACGTACAGGATCCATTTCTTAGCCCTGCAGGTTGCCTAGTTATGGGAATTTGACTACCGTTGTCGAACTAAAAACAGATGCTGATACATCTGAGGTGCATCTAGCATAAATAATATGGCCCCTATGTCAAGATATATGAAGGTACTGCACCCACCTGACGTTTATCAATGTAAATAGGTTGAATAAATTCTGTTTTCGCATGGTCTGATATGTATTTTGCGTGTGGGAAGTGCACTTGTAATACGGTGAACATTTATGTATATCATCTCTTGTAAATTGGCAAAAGGTGAGAATCGAAAATTACACATAATTGCGTTTGGGATGTTTCAAAGAATGCTTATTATGTGCATGTGTGTGTGTGTGTGTGTGTGTGTGTGTGTGAATGTGCGGACGTGCACTTGCATGTGTCTGTGCGCGTATGCATGAGTACGCGAAAGTGCAACAATTTTGATTTTTTTAAAAGTAACGATCTATATATCTTATCATCATTTCACCAAAGTTGTTCTTGTTCTTTACTGCCGCCAAAGTTTAACTATGCGTAGCTTGCAAACTGTCTTATACATGATTTTAAATAAACATTTCTACAATTGACACTACTTCAAGGACCCCCGTTAAATGACCCTTGTGCTTGGATTCACTTTACAGCATCAAACCTGTTTCCTTTCAGTCTCACAGCTTTTTTTTTTTGTTGTTGCCATGAGTTCACACACGTGCGTTAGAATGTTGTCTCGTTTACATTGCTTTGTCTCGTTTACATCGAGAAAGCATATAGCGTGGGATATTGTTTAAGGCATATTCAGACTATTCGCATTACTATTCATATCTTTTTATAAGGTTTGAATATTTTGTATATTTTTGTATATTTTTGAGATATAATAAAAACCTTGGTAAATGGCAACAATAAACAAGTAATGTCTAAGTTCACTGCTATTTCCCAAGTGTTTGCCCTCCCATGCCTTCTTAACCGAGGCTCGTAAGTACAGATGGAATGTGAGTACGCTACCCAGGCAGGGGATGTTTGGGGGGTGTGATTGAGACGTTCTTTTGTCCGAAAAATATCCTCTCAGACACAGACTTTGACCTAGGTTCCATGCAATTTTGAAGTTGGACCAATTAAGGGCAAAATGGTCCTCTGAATCAGATAAAAGAACCCCCCCCCCTTTTGGTACTTTTGACCACAGGCCCACTACTGATATGTTATTGATATATTGACATTGAAAAGATAAGAAATGGCAGTGACAGGGGATTAGCTTACATAACTGTGTACACGACTATCTGTGTCGTCGTCACTGTCAACGCTAATCGAACTAAGATTTATAGCGGGAGAAAGCGAGTAGACGGAAAGATGCTACTGCACAAAAATAAGCGATGAAGTAAGACGTGAGTATTGATTTTTTGTTAACTATTAAATTCAATGAGAGGGGCGTTTATACGTAGTTAACACGTATTTGGAATGATTGAAATTTGGTAATTTATATCATTTATTTTGCTAAGTTTAAAAAATCACTGTAAACCTTAAATTTTAAAAAAACTCACAGTGAAATGGTGATCAAAATATCAAAATCTTAAAAACCACATTTTACCAGTGGTAAATGTTTAATGTTGGTATTTTAACAAGCAACAAAAACGACCGTTAAGTTGTGAGTTTTGACGCCGGTACGCCCATATCGTTAACTTCAAAAAGGTGTTTGTTTTAGAAGGTGCTGTTGCAGTGACAAAAATGTGCCGCACACGTATTTATGAAAAAGAAAAGAAAAAAAAAAAGATAAAAAGTAACAACGACGAAATCCAGGTCTGACACAAGTCCTCACATGGTGTTCTTTAAAAAAGATGTTGGGTAGATTTTTTTCTGAAACGGAAAGAAATCTGATAATAAAGAAAGAAGATAATACTATGTCTATAAGTTGAGAGCCAATACGTTTTTGATTCCCGAAAGAAAATCTTAAGTAAAAAAAACTGAAAGGTAGGTAAGATAGGTGAGATTTATCCCTGATGCATTTGCGCAATGAAACGTAAAGTTCCCATAACTTCGACTACTGAACCTAGACTCAAATGTCAGCTTTTCTTGCGTAATAGACATTTACATACAAAGCACTGTATTCGATAGAATTTCAATACATCTCTTTGGTTAAATTCGTTCTTTGTAACGGTGACATGTGTCTAGGATTTTCTAAAAAATGTATGACGTGACAGGGGTGTTTCTACGTCCTTCCTTTTTCTTGTTTAACCCGTAAAACGCTATCATGGACTAAACACCGTAGCACATGAATGGCGACTTGTTTTTAATTTTTCTTAACCATTGATAATCGCCTTGCGCTTAATCAGAATAAGTTACTTTTTTTATTGATAATGTTAAGTATAACCAAAAAGGACAATGGCATTGCATTTCGGTGGTTGTTCAATTAGACACACAGGTGCATGTCTTTCATGTAGATAGATTTACATGGCAAAAGAGTATAAAGTTTCCTTGATGCGGATTGTTACATTGTGTGACATATTATTTTGTTCTTTTTCATGACAAAGTTTAACGTGGGGTGAGCACAAGGATTCAAATATCATAGTATATTTGAGAAGGACAGGAATTCAAAAAAATTGAAAAGATTAGTTGCGGTACTCTTTTGTTGAACACTGAGTCCAAAAAATAGATTACAGACATGACATATGCGCATCAACCTGTGATAAAATATTCGTTTTTGTATAAATAACTTCCATACCATCTGGCTCTGAATAGAATTAATAATGTTTGCTTATAAGAATTATAATGGAAGCTCTTTTTTCTGTTTAACGGCATCTAAAGAAGCAACCGGTTAAGCCGCATTTTTCGTGGTTGGTTACAGCCCGACTTCGACTTCCGATCGATACAGTGTTTAAACATAGCTTAGGAGACTTTGTCCTAATACAGGTGTTTAGATGGCACGAAGTATTTTAGAGATCTATCAGACTATGAGGCAGACACTTTGACAGGTCGACATGATCGGCCTGAGTTGGCATTCCGTTTGACACAACTACACGGGATCTGTGTACATTACGGTGACGTAACATCGTTGGATTTATCAACATATAAATCAAGATAGCCTAAAAGCGCCAAAGCTATTTTTCAGCACGATAACCCCCCCTGATAAACCTTGATGATTTATACGCAAATGCCAGCCTCGTACGGTCCCTACCGCAAAAATAATAATGATAATAATCAAATAAATATATAAATAATAACAAGATTTAAAAGAGCGTGGAGGTTAAAGTATTTTTACACGAAATATATCCAATTAGGCAAGAGAGAGAGAGAGAGAGTGAGAGAGTGAGAGAGTTTTTCTTGTGGCCTCTTAGGGACAGTGGTAAAAGCTTACGTGATCCATCAAAAAATAATTCCCATGTTTTTGCGCCCTGTTATCTCGAGAAGTAACGCGACACCACTTCAGTCAGTACATGTTTGTTAACTAACAAAACTGCGTGAAAGGTACACACAATAAGACAGAATACTGTTTGATAAACGATATCCATTTAGTCGACTTGTAAGATTTATACAGAATAACTGGCTTTGTATTAGACAGGTACTAATGCTCTGGCTCTTGTAGATGCCATTTAACTAAATACGTGCTTAAATAAATGACAATTTAACGACACGAGGACATAAGACAGCATAACGCATGTCGACGTGTATGGTTCTGAAGAGAATCATGATGTGTTCGTTGACTTGATAAATATGTTTTGGGGGGAAATGAGTTTCAGAAATTAGTGCCTGCATGTGCTTGTATGTAGGATGTGTGCTGTATTGTGATGCCATATTGGTTGTGTGAGAGTGAGTCGATGTGTAGCAGTACAACTGTATATATATATATATATATATATATATATATATATATATATATATATATACATATATATATATATATATATATATATATATATATATATATATATATATATATATATATATATATATATATATGCGTGTGCGCGTGCGTGTCTTTTCAGGGTGCGCGTGGACATGCGAGTGCGTGTTTCTTTGTGTTTTTGCGTTTGGGCACGTGTGTACGAGTGTGTGAGAGAGAAGGGGAGAGGGGAAGAAAAAGGACTTCCAGCTAACTCCTCTAGATAATGTGATAATGTGAGAGAAAGCATGCGCATATCAGACCCGAAGAGAGATGACTGAATCAGTCCGTCAATGAGACCGAGTTGTAAACGAAATTTGTAGAATACACATACTGTATCTGAAACAGCTCGGAACTAAACAAAATTGAAAGCAAGGCTGTCCTTCAGGCGGTGAAATAACACAGTCACCAAACACTCAGAAAGCGTGAGACATTTCTTCAAACACGATCAAAACATTCCTCGATAATTAGGAGACGAATATCCCGATGGATAAACACGTGGGATAAACAAACAACGGATAAGTGGAGAGTTAGTCGATGGTTACATATATATATCGGATCACGCGCCATTAGTTGGCACAGAAACTGACGTGATTATCAAACTTGTAACTTATGAAGTATCCGCGACCAATTTACTATCAGGAAATCTCGGTGTCTGTAAGGTGGTAATTGATATACTGATAATCTTCACCGCCAGGGCCCGTGCTGAGTTTGTACAGACAAATTTGAGATCTCGCTGCTGTAAAAATGATAAAAGAGTAGCACGCTTATGTAGGTTCATTGTGTATGTGGAATGTTTAATACGGCTAGAAGATATTTGCTTG